TCATTGTACAAGAAGCGCTCATATCTGCTCGTTGGGGGTTTTGCACCAACTAACAGTGAAGATATGACATTCATCTGAAGCGTAACTTTGCCACCACGTCTGCACCCAGAGCGCCTCGCCGTTCTCCTCGCAGCACGGCGGCGACCTGAAGTTCGCTGGCCGAAATGGAGCTGAGGTGCGTTAATCCACGATGGTTCTCCCTCTGGGCGCGGCCCCGAGGCCCGCCAGGGAGTCCCAAGAAAGGCGAAGAGATTTCCCAGAGGCTCAGGAGGACCGAAGAGGTTTCCCCAGAAAGGCCCTCAGAGGCTCGTCAGAACCCCTCAGAAGGCTCCGAAGGAGCTCCTCAGAACCCCGAAGCGGCCCGAGGAGGCCGTTCAGACGCCCGCGCCCGAGCACGGAAGCAAGCGCCAGCGATGCTACAACATGGGCCGGCGGAATGAGCGAAGCGAATGAAGAGTTGCACTCCTCGGAGTGGCCAAATCTTTCTTCTCCATGCCAGGGGCCAGCGCGGGTCGATACCTTTTGGTCGCATCTTTTTTTTGAAAACCAATTCCTTGACCATCGCTAGTTGGCTGAAAGAACCGTAAATGACTAGGCAGGCTGAGAAGCACCGCGGGGCGTGGTGAAGCAGCGCATTCAATATACAGAACAGAAAAGTGGGTTGAGCATACAGAGGCACGGACAACGAAATGGATGATGAATGGATGATTATGAAGGGGCCTGGACAATGACGGCGTGCCAGACCACATCCAAGCCTGTCTGCAACCAGTGGACGGTGCGGACAAAGCCCCGGTACGTCTGTTGGGGCCAGCATCCAGAGCGCCGGAAGTGGGCAGAGACGACGAGGCGGGAGACGAGTCTGACGAGGAGAAAGAGACAGACAAAGACGGAGAAGCAGCAGAACAGCCTGACATGGCCTACCTGCATGAGAATGTGGCAGAGTTCACAGTTGCAGTGGATCCAGTGCATGACATCGCTCCAGTCCGAATGATGCAAGCGCTGCAAGGCACGCTGGTGGCGCTGCAGGAGCAGGCAGCACGCTATGTAGCGATGTGTAGAAGCATATATGGAAACATTCCCCTTAAGATCCAGATGAGAATCCAGTTGTAGAATTCTCCTGTTCTCGCAGTCGCAGTCGCATTCGCGATGACAGTCGCAGTGGCAACGGCAGTCACAGTCACAGCCTCAGCCTCAGCCTGCCTCAGTATCAGCCTGCCTCAGCCTCAGCCTCAGCCTGCCTCAGCCTCAGCCTCAGCTTGCTTCAGCCTCAGCCTCAGCCACAGCCTGCCTTCAGCCTCGGCCTCAGCCTCAGCCTGCCTCAGCCTCAGCCTGCATCAGCCTCAGCCTCAGCCTCAGCCTGCCTCAGCATCAGCCTGCCTCAGCCTCAGCCTCAGCCTGCCTCAGCCTCAGCCTCAGCCTGCCTCAGCCTCAGCCTCAACCTTTTCCTCAGCATCAGCCTGCCTCAGCCTCAGCATCAGCCTGCCTCGGCCTCAGCCTCAGCCTGCTTCAGCCTCAGCCTCAGTCTGCCTTCCCTCGGCCTCAGCCTCAGCCTGCCTCAGCCTCAGCCTGCATCAGCCTCAGCCTCAGCCTCAGCCTGCCTCAGCCTCAGCCTCAGCCTGCCTCAGCCTCAGCTCTCAGCCTCAGCCTCAGCCTCAGCCTGCCTCAGCCTCAGCCTCAGCCTCAGCCTGCCTCAGCCTGCAGCCTCAGCCTGCCTCAGCCTCAGCCTGCCTCAGCCTCAGCCTCAGTCTGCTCAGTATCAGCTTGCCTAAGCCTCAGCCTCAGCCTGCCTCAGCCTCAGCCTCAGCCTGCTTCAGCTTCAGCCTCAACCTTAGCCTCAGCCTCAACCTTTTCCTCAGCCTCAGCCTCAGCCTGCATCAGCCTCAGCCTCAGCCTCAGCCTGCCTCAGCATCAGCTTGCCTCAGCGTGTGCCTCAGCCTGCTTCAGCCTCAGCCTCAGCCTCAACCTCAGCCTCAGCCTCAGCCTGCCTCAGCCTCAGCCTGCCTCAGCCTCAGCCTCAGCCTGCCTCAGCAGCAGCCTGCCTCAGCCTCAGTTGGCTACGGGCATTCAAAATGTGGCCCGGGAATGGAGTTCTGGGAACTCGAAGAGCACGAAGTGGCCTACAGTTGGCTCCGGGCATTCAAAATGTGGCCCGGGAATGGAGTTCTGGGAACTCGAAGACACGAAGTGGCTTACAGTTGGCTCCGGGCATTCAAAATGTGGCCCGGGAATGGAGTTCTGGGGACTCGAAGACCACGAAGTGGCCTACAGTTGGCTCCGGGCATTCAAAATGTGGCCCGGGAATGGAGTTCTGGGAAGTCGAAGAGCACGAAGTGGCCTACAGTTGGCTCCGGGCATTCAAAATGTGGCCCGGGAATGGAGTTCTGGGAAGTCGAAGAGCACGAAGTGTGTGACTGTTGGCTTAAAATGAGTTCTGCGGCACCCTGTCCGGCACCCGCCCAGACCCCCCTGTGGAGTCATCTGCTGCTCTCTTTTGAGTCTTGTAGAAACCTATCAGTCTTCGCTGTTAAGTAAAAACAGTCCAAACATAGTCTGGGGACTATTTTTTGAATATTTGTTGACCTGTTTGGAATATTTTTGGGGTATCTTTTACTTTTCGTCGGCAATCCCCCTGTAGGGGGACACGCCCGACTGAATCACAAGTCCAGGCCCTGGGCCGCGGCCCCGCGCCAGAGCCGGAGGCACGCCGCCGAAGCAGCGGACCCTCCTCGCGCCAGCGCGCCACCGCCGACTCGCTCGGCGCGCAGCCGCGCCCGGCTTGCACTGAGGGGAGCCCCCGGCAGGTCTCGATGCCGCCACTCCCCGGCACCTCGCCGGGGAGTGCGTGCGGACAGGCACCTCGGGGCGAAGATCCAGCCGTGGCGACGAGGGCCGCCCAGGAGGCCCAGGAAGGGAAGAACGAGAGAAGAGCAGCGGTATAAAGGGTACAGGGGTACAGTCGGGCCTGGGCCGGAAGAACAACACCCTTGAAGAGCACGAGACCCTCCGTCGCCCCACACAGACAGAGCATCCGAGGGCAATGACCCTCCCCGGGGTGCACCAGAGCATCCGGCAAGCACGAACAGACACGAGGGCACCCTCCCCCGACCCACCTCGACCTTCCACCTCGGTCTGGCTGCACCTCTTCCGCCTCTGGCCTCGCTCGGCGCGCGGCTGCGCCTGCTGGCGTCTGCTCGCTGCGTTATGTTGCATCCTCGGGGGACCTTGTCTGTCCCGTCGCGGCCCTGTCCGCGTCGAATCCGTGTCGAATCCATGTCGGACGCGTCGGATCCGTGTCGGATCCGTGTCGAATCCGCGTCGAATCCACGCCAAATCCGCGTCGAGTCCGCATCGAGCCCGCGTCGAGCCCCCAAGAAGACACCAATGCTTGGGACAGGCGAGGCCCCCCGAAGATGCAACAGAACCTGCGGCTCGCTCCGAGGGGCTCTCGCGGAGCAGACCGCCGCGCGGTGCGGCCCGGGGGTCCGCGCGGGCCTCGGGCACCCACGCTCACGCGATGCTGCCTCTCGACGGGGGCCTGGCCCGTCCCGCGGCGCCCACCATCCGTGTCGCGTCCACGTCGAGTCCCTGTGGGACGCGTCGAATCCGCCCCGGAACCCGTCCCGAAGCCACGCCGAGTCCGCGCCGAACCCACGTCGAACCCACGTCGGGACACAAGGGAAGACTGCCATCGTTACAGGGCAGGCACGGCCCCCCGAAGACGCAACTGACGGCAAGTCAGTGTCATGCCGACCCTGGCGTTGGTTCCTGACACCACGGGGTTCGTTCAACCTTGAACGATCGGCCGTTTCTGGAACGTCAGATCGTTCAACATCGACCGATCCTGGGTCGCCTGCAGCATTCAGCTTTGAACGCTGGCGGCGGGGTCGCCGTCGGTCGACACGACGCGAACATGCCGTAGCTTATGCCGCTTTCTCTCTCGATGGGCCATTTACATGACAGGGACGGCCCCCCGAAGATGCAACGTGCAGCCAACGTGCTACCACAAGGACAACCAAATAAGGCACGGAGCGGCTTCTCTGGCCACGGCGAGCCTCGGGCACAAACAGGTTCCCCCACCTGGACTTAGGGCCCCCAAACCAGAAGCCCCTCCCAAGCCCAAAGAGGTCCCTGTTTCAACGTCTTGGCCGACTCGGCCTCGACCGCTATGCGAATCAAACATGTCGCCAGGCAAACTGGGAACGCCACACGAACCGACCTGCGGTAGGCAAGCACATGCACTGAATCGTGGCCTGAAAGATGAGCAAGCGTGCCGCATGCGAAACGAGAGGAACGAACGAGGAGGGGAGAACGCCACGGGGGGAAGGAAGAAGGAGAGGAGGGGGAGGAACAAAACAGTGCACCAATACAAATTCTGGTGTTCCAGGCAGACGAACCTAAAGAAACCAAAAGGTACCGGTACCGCTACTCCTCGACCTCTCGCGGGGTGCGTCCCGACCAAAGTTCTGAGGCGAATCCAGCGCTGGCGACGAAGGCCTCCAAGGAGCCCTGAAAAAGGCGAACACATGGCGAGGATAGCGGTATGGGTACCTTTTCCTCTGGCTGACGACTGGCGATGGATGGGCGGCGGCTGGGGGTCGATGCTCGCGAAATGAGGGCCCCCGAAATGTTGGCCTCCGGCATCAAAGGTCGCGGCAGGGCTGGACCTAAAAGTTGTGTGTTCGTTCCGTTGTCGTTTGATGTTCGTGTCCTCCTCGGAATCCCAAGCGCGCGAACCTGCCGTGAGCGATGCCGCTGTTTATGTGGTTCCCATCGCACATAAAGACCACATCCCAGAAATGAGTTCGAGCAACCGGAAAAGTGTCGAAACGGTGTCGAGCCAGTGTCGGACGAGTGTCTCCCAGGGCCTCACACGTGAAAACCCTCGAGTTTCGGTACTCTCTTGGAGCTCGAAATGCTTCCTGGTGATCTAGGCCAAAGCAGGCTGGAGCATCATGAGCCCCTGCCCCTCCTCCGACGGGCACGACGGCGGCGCCGCGGGCCTTCGCGGGCGGCGCGGGCGGCGGCGGCCGGGCGGGCGCGGCGGCGAGGCCCAGGGCGCCCGCCAGGCACGACAGCGTGGCCTCGAGCTGCCGAGTGCCCACGACGACCCCGACGCGCAGCGCGGGGTCGAGGGGCGACGAGGCGTCCTGTGGTGGGGCGGCGCGACCTGCACACGACCTGCACGGTGGGGGGCGTGGGCGCTGCTTCAAAAAAAGGAGGGGGGGGCGATCACGGGGAGGAGACAAAGGGGAGACGCGTCGTGCCCCTCGCGGGGGCCCCTTTGGGGCACAGAACCCCCACTCTTTTATCCCCCCTCCCCCTTTCGGGCACAACAAGTGTACCTTTCTTCACCCCACCCCCAAGACCTCCCCCCAATACGCAACGCCCAATTGGCCTGGCCAACCCTGGGACCCGGAGGCTGCACACGCCCTCCCGGCTTGGCCAGGGAGGAGGCGTAGTGTTCGGAAGCTGCTCCTGGGAGATCTTCTCACGAACGAGCAAGGGGTAATGGGCCCCGATCAAAATACGGGGTTATCTTACCGGATTCGGCCTTCATTCGGCCCGATTCAGCCTGATTGAAAGGAATTAAGGATTAAGCCGGATTGCGCCGGAGCGGTGGGGATTATGCCGAATTGGGGCCGTTTTTTACCACGGATATACCAGCTCCGATGCTAAATCCAACCTCCCAGGAGTTGCATCCTGACGTGCTGCACCACTCTTGGACCCAGGATGGGCCTGGCCAGGGGCACCATAGGTCTGTACAGATCTCATCGCCCCAGTCCTCCCCGCTCAGCCAGGTGCGGGCGCGGGACTCCTGCAGGGGCTTCTCTTCCCGTTGCCTGCTTGTGCTCCCTGCGGACGAAGCCAGGTCCAGGAACCGCATCTGACCGGGACAGATCGGGGATCTCTGAGATCCCGTGGTTCTGGAGAGGGATGAGGAGGAGGAGGAGGAGGAGGAGGAGGAGGAGGAGGAGGAGGAGGAGGAGGAGGAGGGCGAGGAGGAGGAGGATGTGGCGGAGGAGGAGGAGGAGGAGGTGGCGGAGGAGGAGGAGGCGGAGGAGGCGGAGGAGGAGGCGGCGGAGGAGGAGGAGGAGGAGGCGGAGGAGAAGAAGGACGTGTCGGGCGCCGCGGCCGTTCCAGAGCGATCTGGGACGCTCCGAGAATGCTCTGGACCGCTCTGCACCGATGGACCCTGGCCCTGGCCCCGCCCGACTCTCTCCTCTCCTCCATCTCGGGGCCGCTCAAGAGGAGTGCGTCCAAGAGGGGTGTCCGCGAGTCATGGCCCGAGGCACGTGCGCGCCCTGGAAGGGGCCAAGGGGCGCATTGAAACAAGAACGATGGGGCCACGAAGTTTAGGGACAGACCATGGCCCTGGCTGTGGTCTTCCCCCCCCCCCCCTCCATGAGATCCGACGTCGCGAACAAAAATGCAACATCGTGAAACATGACGACCGGAGGCTCAGTTCAGACCCGATCCTTCTGCGGCATTTGTCGAACGATCTGTGATACTTTCGGGGCCCGACATCTGGCGAAACCGCCCGGCGTGAAACAATTAAACGCCTGGACCTCATGATACACACCCCTCAGGCATCACCCCCTCTTTAGACAGCCACAGCCTGGCGCCAGCACAACGCGGGCAGGCTGCAGTCGTCGTTCTACAATCAGGGACGCCGAATCCCACCAGCCCGTGGGTTTAGGAAGCCTCCTCTTCTGACCCCCCTTACTCTACACTCCCTCTCCTACCCAACCGGCGACAAACCAGGGACAATGCCACCAGCCCCCGCCATCCCTGTGCAAACCCGATGCAAAGCGCACTTTGCCACAAAATATTGGGTCATGTTCGCCCCCCCCCGCGAAGCGTTTTGCAATTTTTCTTGACGAGGACGGCAGAACCCCCCATGCGCAAGAGCGACACGGCTTCCGAGGACCACCAAGGGGCGAGGCGGGCGGGGCACTCCGGGCGCGCTGGCCGGTGCGGGGGGGCCCCTGTGGGCCCGCACCGAAGGTCCTTCCGCGGCGAGGGGCCACTTCTGCTCCGCGGACGAAGAGCGCTGCAAAATCAGCCTCCCCGCCGTCCCACGGGGGCTCCGCCGCTGACTGCCGCCCTCGCCCCCGCCTCGCCGCCCTCGTCGTCGGCGGCAGCCGTCGGCGGCGGCGGCAGCCGGCGGCGCCGCCGTCGCCGCCGCCGCCGCCACCGTCGCCGTCGCTGTCGCCGTCGCCGTCGCCGCCACCGTCGCCGTCGCTGTCGCCGTCGCCGTCGCCGTCGCCGTCGCCGTCGTCGCCGCCGTCGTCGTCGTCGTCGTCGTCGTCGTCGTCGCCGTCTATTTTCCGTCGCCCGTTGCCACCGACCATCGTGGGCGCCGGCGCCCGCCGCCGGGCCGTCGTCGGCGTGGCGTCCTGCGCGGGCTTCTGCACCATGATGACCATGGCGCCCACGGCGACGCCGTTCAGGGCGCCCCTGTCAGGCGTCGCCGCGGGGAGCCGGGGGCGCCTGCCGTCCTGGCGCGGGCGGCGCGGGCGGCCCCGCCCCTCCTCCTGCTCCTGGCCCTGCTCCTCCTGCTCCTGCTCCTCCTGCTCCTGCCCCTCCTCCTGCTCCTGCTCCTCCTCCTGGCCCTGCTCCTCCTGCTCCTGCTCCTGCTCCTCCTGCTCCTGCTCCTGGCCCTGCTCCTCCTGCTCGTGCTCCTCCTGCTCGTGCTCCTCCTGCTCCTGCCCCTCCTCGCGTCTCCTCGTGCCTCCTCGAGCCCTTTCTCCGCGGCCCTCCCTCTCCATTCCCCTCGGAGGAGGGCAAGTCGAGACAACGGCCGCCCTCCCCTGCTCCTGATGCTGCTCCTCCTGTTCCTCGTGTCTCCTCGTGCCTCCTCGTGCCTCCTCCTCCTCCTCCTCCTCCTCCTCCTCCTCCTCCTCCTCCTCCTACTCATGTACTTGCTCCTGCTCCTGCTCATCCTGCTCCTCCTGCTCCTGCTCCTGCTCCTGCTCCTGCTCCTGCTCCTGCTCCTGCACCCGCTCCCGCTCCTGCTCCTGCTCCTGCTCCTGCTCCTCCTCCTCCTCCTCCTCCTCCTCCTCCTCCTCCTCCTCCTGCTATTTCTCCGTTCCGAGGCTGGTCGGAAGGGCGGGCCCGGCATCTCGCTTGAAACTTCCGGACCATCTGCGATTCTGAAGCTCAAAGTTTGCCAACAGTTTCACACATGGAGGGCGGGCCGCCGCTTCCAGAAGGTGGCTCTCGCCCAGGCGCCGCGCGCACCCGTTTTCCAAATTGGCAAAAGAGTGTTTCGCGGATTCAGGGCGGGCCGTTTCCAAGATGCGTCTCTCGCCAGAGCGTCGCGCACACTCGTCTTGAACCTCTACCAGAGCTCCACGCATCGAGGGCGGGCGGCTTTCAAAACGTGGATCTCGCATCAGCGCCGCGCACACTCGTCATACAAATTTGCAGAAAAGTTTCACGGATTCACAGGGCCAACGTACCAGAAGCGGCGTTCTGGAACGCTTCAGGATCCGCCAGGGCGCAACAGATCTTCTGATTCGCAGTGTTGAAGCCCCAGGAATGGTGTTCTGGCACGATTCAACATCGTCGAGACGCAACTGCCGGGTTGAATCGTGACGTTGGAGTCCCGAGACTGGTCTTTAGGCAGGCTTCAGGATATTCAACGGTTGTCTCCCACGGGTGCACTTCCCTCAGTGGAGCTGATTCCGTGTAGGGGCCTATGAAGAGGGAGCTTGAGGGAGGGCTTGTTCCCACATCGTTGATGAGCCTTGGGTGCTCCTCCTCCTCCTCCTCCTCCTCCGGCTCCGGCTCCGGCTCCAGCTCCGGCTCCTCCTCCTCTCCTCGTGCCCCCTCCCTGCGGGCCCTCCCTCTCCACCCCCCTTGGAGGAGCGCAAGTCGAGACAACGGCGGCCCTCCCTGGTGTATTGTCGCCTCTCTGGGGCCTCCTGAAGCCTGGAGGCTTCTGGAAGTCAGGGCCGAATCCGCCTCGAAAAAATCGGGCCATGATGAAGCCTGCGAGGGGTCTGGGGCGGGGGCAGATTTTGAGCGGATGTATGCACCGACCCCCCTCCTCCTCCTCCTCCTCCTCCTCCTCCTCCTCCTCCTCCTCCTCCTCCTCCTCCTCCTCCTCCTCCTCCTCCTCCTCCTCCTCCTCCTCCTCCTCCTCCTCCCCCTCCTCCGCCACCTCCGCCGCCACCTCCTGCGACGGTCCTTGCGCAGATTGCCCGTCTCGCCCGTGCGCGCGGCCCTGATGGCGGCCATGCAGGGCTTGGCCTCCCGCCAGCCGGTGACCAAGATCGACGAGGGCGTCACCGTGCCGCGGGGCTGGGCGAAGAGCCAACGGGCGAACTCCACCTCCGAGGAGGTCGTCGCGCACGGAACAGGGAGGCACGTGCGAGTGCGATGAGCGAGGGGGGTAGGGGGGGGGGGAATGGCGGGGGAGGGGCGAGGGGCAGCGAGAGAAGAGGATGGTCAGGCCTCATATCGAGATGAGGGCGTGGAGGAGGAGCATGGGAGCATGGGGAGGACAGGGGGGAAGACGACAAGCAACAGGAACTATGAGGAATCAGGAGGAGGAGGAGGAGGAGGAGCTATGAGGAATTGGGAGGAGCTTGACTCGCCCACTGCTGGTGGGGACGGCCCCCTTCTCGGCGACCGGCCCAATTTTTGTGGGCACCGTCGTCATTGCAGACGGCTGTTCTTACGAACGGCGGACATGACAAGTTCTTGTTTTCTCGTGCAAAGCTACCTGCCTAGTTTGAAACATCTGTGACACTGGTTGGGCGGATGCTCGTCGTAACACCTCTGCGTTGCTGACGCGGGAGCAGAAAGCAGAAATGCCCAGCGATCGACGTAAGCACTTGCAATGGCGCGCATCAAACCTCGCAGGGTCTGCCTTCAGAAGCCAACGGAATCTCAGGAATACAAGAACTCGCTCAGACCACACTTTTCGTATGTGATATGTTTTCGCTTCTTGCCAATCGACGTCCGCGTCTAGATCCAGTGTAGCTGCTTGAATGTATGATGAGCTTCGCCAAACTTCCTGTTCAATTCGGTAGACACCCTCCCAACGCACGAAAGTAGCCCGCCCCAAAAATAGCTGCCCTCACAGCTTTAATGCATTCGCCACTTGGGGTTCGGATTGCCTTGTCTGTGGGTATAGGTATGTGTCTACCGTCTTCTCCCAGTTTAGCTCCAGGCGGTACTTCTTCCCTCTTCCAATCTTGATGCCAGCACCTGCGGTCCATTGGGGCCATGCTGAGACACCAACAAAGTATCAGCTGCATACCAAACATCACGCGTAGTTGCATAGCCTGGCTCTGGCAGTTGTTCAGGGGTACCACACACATCAGGCAGCCCTACACTTTGGACGATGATGAAAAAGTAGGGCGCAGGCGGGCAGCCTTGAACGATCCCTGCTCGCTGATGTCGTTCAGAAGAACGGCCGGCATGATCCAAGATGGAAATACCTGACTGAGTAACTCGGAAGAGTCATTTCTACTGCACGATCTGGCTGACCAAAGCGTTCAAGAGCTTTGCACATGCAGTCTGGTTTCAATATACCGAGAGCGTTTGCCCAACCTAGCAGAAGTAGAATCCAGCCATCAGTTTTGTGCGAATGAGTTTCGTCGATCGTCCAGCGCGTCAACAATAGTGCGTCGCCCATGCCACGGCGTCGGCGAAAACCAAACTATGAATCTCGTCTTCGTGTTTCCGCGCCTCCTTGAACCAACAGGTTGTAGACTTGACGCCAGAATATTATATCCAACTGGCTGTAACGATATCAGTCTGTAGTTAGCTGGCAAGGCGGTTTAACCTCGCTTGAATAATAATAAGAATAATAATAATACCACGTTCGCTCTCTTCCAAGATTCTGGAATGAACATTTGCGCCCAACACTGCTGGCATGTGTTGAAACGGATGTTGCTGGCCGCTTCGTCAGAAGCCAAAATCTTCTTAAACTCTGGGGGAACGTCACCAGGTTCGGCTGCCTCGTCATTATTGTATCATACGGGTCACGTTATGAGAACCCTTCATCGCTAGCGCCCCTATGTCGAAAGAAAGCTTGTCGCCAAGAAACGACTGATTGCTTGGCCGGTGATTTGAAAACCTATATTCCCATTGTGTGGAATCAAAATAATCTGTCATGAGGTCTGGTCTCTCCGCTGTGTCCGCCATTGTAACATCTGGGCGTGGTATGCTTGCGTGTTGCACGGTCCCCGGCTTGCGCAAATATCTCACAGCATCCCACCCATCCACCACTCGCCGCAAGCTTTTTCAACCATGATTCGTGGTCTTGCTTCCCAGACTTCGTATATCCGTGTGCAGTCGCAGTTCGTTGTCGTGGTCCCCAGGCTGTCGGTAACCCGAGCGCCGCTGTATCAAATCCAGAGTTCGCTGGCGGGTCCACGGACGTCGGGGATTGATGTCTCTAGATGGCAGAGTGGCAGCAGCAAGGGAGAAAGCATTCTTCAGAATAGGGTTTGCAGTGTCCACATAATCCGAACAACCATGTTGCTCCAACGCGGCTCGAGTAAACTCTCCGATGGATTTGTCGCGGACCTGCTGGTCGTCCAGCGAAGCTTTCTCGATGGTGCGCATACTCTGACGGTGCTGCGGCTGCGTATCGAAGTCGACGTTGATCGCGGCAACGGTGAGGAAATGGTGAGTATTCAAAGAAACCCCGCGAGCTGTCCAACAATTCTGGATCGTCGTCAACATGCTTCGGTTGCATAACACATGGTCGATGTGTGAAAACCGTGCTGTCGAGATGATCGGGTCCAGAGGGTTGATGCCGACGTTCCGGCAGGACGAAACACAGCTGTAGTAAGTACAACTGCACCCGCGAAGGTGTTGATGGCCACACTCACACCCACAACCCTGCACATCCCTTCACAGAGGAGGAGGAGGAGGAGGAGGAGGAGGAGGAGGAGGAGGAGGAGGAGGAGGAGGAGGACGGGGTCAGCATTATCAGACTCGCTGTGCACGCCTGCAGCCGAAGCGGCGGCGGGACGGATTTGCCACGACGCTCTGGCAACGAGTGCTGTTCGACTTCGAGTGGGAGGGCAAAAGCGATGGAGAAGGAGGAGGAGGAGGAGGAGGAGGAGGAGGAGGAGGGAGAGAAGGAGGAGGAGGAGGAGGAGGACGATGCGGAGGAGGAGGAGGAGGAGGAGGAGGAGGAGGATAGGAGAGGGGAGGGGAGGGAGGAAGGGAGGGAGGCAAGTGGGAGGGCGAGCCCCACCTCGGAAGAAGTGCGGTGGAACTCGAGGGGCGGCAGCCGGCGGAGCATGGAGTGCACCTCCTCGTCGCCGCGGCAGCCGCCGTCATCGGCCGCCGCCGTCGCCACCGCTGTCGTGGTGATCCAGGGGGAGGGGGGCTGTTCTGGATTGTTTTGTTGGCCCAGAAGGCTCGCAGAGGCACACACGAACGACGCAGCGGAAACCACGCCGTACTGGGCACTGAAGCCCCTGGTGCGACCTGGCCAGCCACGCCGATACAGTGCATGCCTCCACAGGCGACTGGGCAATAGCACTCTGACCGAGGGACGTGCTACACCCAACGACGGGAAGGAAGCAGGAGTGGAGAGGGCGAAGGCAATGAGGGAGGGAGAATGATGAGGAGGAGCGAAACGAGGGGAACAATGCTGGTGCTGATGCTGGTGCTGATGCTGGTGCTGCTGATGCTGGTGTTTTTGCTGCTGCTGCTGCTGCTGACGGTGGTGGTGGTGGTGGTGGTGGTGGTGGTCGTCGTCGTCCTCCTCCTCCTCCTCCTCCTCCTCCTCCTCCTCCTCCTCACAAGCGTCGTGGTCATGGTCGCTCGCGGCAGTTGTCGTAATCGTCGTCGTCATCGTCGCCGTCGTGGTCGCCACCACCGTTGCCGTCGCAGCCGCAGCCGCCGCCGTGGTCGCCGTCGTCGTCGTCGTCGTCGTCGTCGTCGTCGTCGTCGTCGTCGTCGCCGTTGCCGTCACCGTCGCCGTAGCCGTCGCCGCCGCCGCCGCCGTCGCCGTCGCCGTCGCCGTCACCGTCATCGTCGCCGTCGTGGTTGCCACCACCGTTGCCGTCGCAGCCGCAGCCGCCGCCGTGGTCGTCGTCGTCGTCGTCGTCGCCGTTGCCGTCGCCGTCGCCGTCGCCGTAGCCGCCGCCGCCGCCGCCGCCACCGTCGCCGTCGCCGTCGCCGTCACCGTCGTCGTCGCCGCGTTCGTTGCCGTCGCCGTCTTGCCAGTCGTCGTCGTCGTCGTCGTCGTCGTCGTCGTCGTCGTCGTCGTCGTCGTCGTCGTCGTCGTCGCCGTCCTCGTCGTCGCCTTGCTCGTCGCCGTCCTCGTCGTCGCAGCCCTGCGCGCCGGCGCACCAGAGGAGGCTGCAGCGACGCGGCATGGCCGCACGATGGGGCTATGCGCGTGCGCGCCCGCGCGCCTGGCTCCCCGGGGCACGGGAAAGCGGCCCCGCCCGCGGCCGAGGCCCCCCAGGCGGGGCGCCGCCTGAGCCGAAACGACTCCAGGCACGCAGCAGACGGGGCCCGGAAGGAAACGGGTCCTGGGCACTGGAGGAGGAGGAGGAGGAGGAGGAGGAGGAGGAGGAGGAGGAGGAGGAGGAGGAGGAGGGAGGGAGGCAGGGAGGGAGGGAGGAGGACGAGGACGAGGAGGAGGAGGAGGAGGAGGAGGAGGAGGAAGAGGGAGGTGATGAGGCGAGGTGAAGGGCCGAAATCCAGCCTGCGCCGTTGTTTTGGCAGGCCCAGGGCCCGTGGAGGGCCCAAGGCGCCCGAGAACGACGAGAAGTCTCTCGGGACCCGTCGCCCTCAGGACTCGGCTGCTTCCTGGCGAGGCCCTGATGCTGCGCGGGGTCTGCTTTGGCGTGCGTTGCTTCATGGGGGGGGCTGCAAATGGCAGGGTCGATCGGCGTCGAATGAGGACGAATCGGAATGGACGCTGGATCGGACCGAATCGGCTCGGAATCGGAAGCGGACCGAATCGGCGGCGCCTGGGCAGATGTCCCACCACCACTACCATAGGTAGGAGAGGGAGGAGGAGGGAGGAGGAGGAGGAGGAGGAGGAGGAGGAGGAGGAGGAGGAGGAGGAGGAGGAGGAGGAGGAGGAGGAGGAGGAGGAGGAGGGAGGAGGAGGAGGAGGAGGGGAGCCATGACAGCGCCAGGCGAGCATCGGGCCGCATCGCATCGCCCGGACGTCCGAGTCGAATCGGGCCGGCCACGGCCGATGTCGAATCGGATCGATCGGATCGGAGCAGAGCCTGGAACGGGCGGGCGAAGAAGCGAGCGCCTGTCGTTCCCCTTTTGGGCCTCAAGAGAGCCTCTTCAGGGCCCCGTGTATTGTACAAGAGCGCGCCTTTCCTCACCCCCCTTCCCCCCCACTTGTTGCCCCCCACCACGCAGCTTCCGAGCTTGTGGACGTCCTGCTTACCTCAGGCAGGACCAAGTCAGCACCGCATCAGGGATTCGGATCCGATCGGAACGCGCGTCGGAACGCGCGTCGGAACGGGTCGCATCGGCACGGGGTCGCAATCGGGTCGGCTGCGCCAGGATGTATAACAGCAACATCGGGCCGCATCGGATCGCCAGAACACTGGAGGCGAATCGGATCGAGCTAGCCTGCAATCGACGTCGAACCGAACCGATCGAACCGAAACTGACCCAGTCAGGAGGCCTTGTGATACCTCGGGGGTCCTCCGGACAGCCGGCAGCGCGAACGGCGGTGACATCGTCGGCGACGGCGTCGTCGTCCCGTCCCCTGAGATCCGACGATGCGGCGATGCGAACACTTTGCAAACATCGCGACCAGTAAAGCACTGTAGGCCATGTGCACAGGCGAGAGCACAACCACGCCCACCTTAGTGAACGTGTTGCCAAAGATCGTGGCCGTCCGAACCAAACATGCAGTCAGCAAGGAGGAGGAGGAGGAGGAGGAAGAGGAAGAGGAAGAAACAACTGCCGGACTGGGCGGTCTGGGGCTTCCCGTCCCCGGTTGTGGGACCCTTCCAGGGTCTCTAACATCTACCAGAACACTCTAGAGAGACGCAATGATTGGTGGGGAAGCGCGACATGAGCCCCAGTCTTAGGTCGGGCATGCCCTCCTACAGGGGGATTTAAGAAGAACCATACAACATAGCCAGAACATATTCAAGCATAGTCGAAAGAGCACGAAAAGGCGTCCCAAGACTATTGCTTGACTGTTCTTCAACATTCCTCTTGTAAAGAGACATGCCCGACTTAACCCCATACGGCAGGTTCGTGTCGTGCCGACTTCGGCGTTGGTTTCCGACACCGCGGGGATCGTTCAACCTGGAACGATCGGCCGTTTCCGAAACGTCCAAATCGTTCCACATCGAACGATTCTGGGTCGCCCGCGGCGTTCAAAGTTGAACGCCGCTGTCTTGGTCGCCGCGGGTCGACACGACACGAACCTACCGTACCCAGCCTTTCTGCTGCACTTTTCGCGCCACGCCGACCTGTGCTGGCCCCGCGGCCCGACAGGCCAGGCGAGAACGCCTGGCTGGGCACGAGCTGCAACGCCTGGATCTCGGGGCCGCTTGCCGATACATCGGCGATGCATCGCCGATGCATCGGCGATGCATCGGTGACGCACATGCGATGCATCGTCGACGTCGGCGATGCATCGGCGACGTCGACGTGAAGCAAATCGGGCCCCACATCGAGCCGCATCGCCGATGCATCGCCGATGCGGCGCCATCCTCCGACCCCATCTACTCGGAGCCCATCCAGGAGGCCTAGACGGAAGGTGCGGAAGGTGCAGGTCGGGTCCCCGGGCCCCTCCCGGGCTCCCTGGAACGCCAGCTTTGGAGTGGAACGCATCTGGAGGCCAGAAAGCCGCCAGCAACCCACGACCCACGAATGCTCTTGAAAACTTCGCTCAACTCGCCTTCCTCCGATCCTCGGCGTCAGCGTCGGCGTCGGCGGCCGGCCGCGGGGCGCGCGCGAAGGCGGCCGTGGGAGCTCCTGCCGTCCGATGGCCTCGCCGCCCGCCGCCCAGCGGCCGCCGGCGGCTCGAGCGGCGCGGCGCCCGCGCCGGCGCCATCGCCGCCGCCGTGGCCTGCACTCCGCCTGCGCGGAGTGGCCTGGCGAGGGCCACCGCCGCCGCCGCCGCCGCCGTGGCCATCGCCGTCGCCGCGGTGGCCGCCGCCGTGGCCGCCACCGCCGCGGCCGTGGCCGCCGCCAGCGTGGCCGTCGCCCGTCACCGCCGCGGCCACCGTGGCCGCCACCGCCGCCGCGTCCGTGGCCGCCGCCACCGTGCCCGTCGCCGTCACCGCCGCCGCCGCCACTGCCGCGGCCACTGTGGCCGCCACCGCCGCCGCGGCAGCGGCCGCCGAGAGCGTAGCTGTCGCCGTCACAGCCGCGGCCGCAGTGGCCGCCACCACCGCCGCTGGCGTGGCCGTCGCCGTCACCGCCGCGGCCGCCATAGCCGCCACGTGGCCGCAGGGAGGCCGTCGCGGGACGCTCGCAGGAATCCGACGTCGTGAGTTTCTGGACCCCGTTCTGGGGGAATTCATGGGAAACCAGGACGCTGGCGCGCTAGAGGAATCTGCAGCCATGGGTCGAAGTATTCTGAATTCTTCGCATTTTCTCCCCAGGTGGAACTCTCAGAAGCTTAGATGGGCAGCGTCCTGTCCTCTCAAAGCATGGGAGGTCTTCAGCACGGGGTCCCCGAGTCCTGGCCCTCTCCCTGGGCCTGGCTTTTACACCCCAGAAGGGGGAGGAGGAGGAGGAGGAGGAGGAGGAGGAGGAGGAGGAGGAGGAGGAGGAGGAGGAGGAGGAGGAGGAGGAGGAGGAGGAGGGAGGGGAAGGAGGAGGAGGAGGAGGAGGACCAGAGTAAACCCAATAGTCATCAACGATGTTGGAATTCGCCGGCCCAACGGGCCAGAGGCGTGCTAAGATCTCCGGTAACTACTTCACAATATTTCTAATTCGCGCGCGCGGGGCGGCCCCTGGGGGGCCCCGGACGAAAAGTACCCCGGCCGATCCCCAGCTGACCCCCGGGCTATCCCCAGGGGGGAGGCTATTTTTCGCCACCCCTCACGAGGATCGTGGCCTCCGAGGGGGGGGCTGCCAACGACTACCCCCCTTCCCGCCCCAAGGGGCCCCCGAGAGCCCCCCAAGAGGCCCCAGGGGAGCCCAATACGCTGCCAAGGAGCCCCAAGACGCCCCCAAAAAGCTCCCAAGAAGCCCCCAAGACGGCCCCGAGAGGCCCCAAATAGCGCTCCAGGGCCGGCGGAATGAGCGAAGCGATTAAATAAACCCGCCCTCCAAGCTTCCTCTTCGTAAGCCCCTGCAGCGGTTGATTTCCGCTGAAGGAACTGCCTCGCTGGAAGACAACCGTTTGAAGACCCTGAAGCATGCCAAGATTTGGTTCTCGGGACCCAACGCCACGGATCAACCAGACTGTTGCGTCTTGACGATCGTGCCAGAGCGCCACTCCTGGGACATCAACACCTTGAACCAACACAACTGCCTCATGATCCTGAACCCTTCCAACACACCATTTCTGGAACGTTGATCACTGGAGTCCGTGAAACTTTTGCAAATCTAAATAGCGAATGTGCGCGGCGCTGAGGCGACAACCACAGTTTGAAAAGGAACCACCCTCAATTCGCGAATCTCTTGCACATGTGTGAAAAGGAATGTGCGCGGCGCTACGGCGAAAACCACATTTTGAAAACGGGCCGCCCTCAATCCGTGAACCTCTTGCAACTGTTTAATCCTCTTGCACAGGGTGTCTAGAGTTCCGACTACTGAATTTCGGCACGGCGCACCCCTCATCACCTACACATTCCACCAGTCAGCGCGACCCTCCATCCCCCCCCGCATCCACCCACCCACCAGCACCAACCAGCCAGTGCGCCCCTCCGCCCCGACCCATTCATTTCGGCACGGCACACCCCTCCGCCCCGACCCCCACCAGCACCCACCAGCCAGTGCGCCCCTCCGCCCCGACCCCTTTATTTCGGCACGGCACACCCCTCCGCCCCGACCCCTTTATTTCGGCACGGCACACCCCCTACGCCTCCCCCACCCACCAGCCAGCG